TAAGGCAAATTTAGGGGAGCTGATCATATTTATATTTGCATAAAGATAACAGTTGTAGCGTATTCAAGTAAATTCATTACTACATAAATATTGCTCTCATCCTTGATTTACATAAATGAGGGTATAATTCGCATACATTTTAAAACAGCAAAACAACAATGCCCGTACAACATAATCATAAATATTTACACCTTAAACAGTCATTAAAGTGAATATATATAGGCTTTAGGAAAAATAGGTATCTTTGAATAGGGCAGCATTTTTACAAACTAGTATATAATGAAATTTCTAGAGTAATCCACCTGGCAATTTCTGATCTGTATATCGGAGTGGACCGAAAAGTTGGCGTGAGATAATTAATGGAATGTGCGTGAAAGGAAACATGGCGGAGAGAGAGCGAATTGGCTTATCACCACGGAACTCCCATGCGCGGAAGGTCTCTACACCGAAAATATCTTCGGCAGCCACTTCGACACTTTGGAAGAATTCATCTGGATGTAGATATCCAGGTTGGAGAAGCCAGACAGGAGACAATCGGAGAGGCAGCAAGAGAGAGAAATAGACAAACCAACCAAGCCGAGGCCAGGTAGGCATCAGGCTAAGAAAGTGAATAAATAAAGGAATAAAAAGTAAATAGGAATAAAAAGGCAGCACACAGAGGATAACCCAAAAAAGCATCAGTTATTAATATTTACGACATGAATTGGATGCCAATAAGAAGCAAGATCATCCGTTTACAAGTACCATAAAATTGATTCATTAGTAAAGGTTAAAATGTTCAATAAGAAGGGAAAATAATGGTAAATACCGGAAAAAAATTTCTGTTTTATCATGCACTTACTAAGAGGTTAGGTTTGTTCGGTACATCAAGCGGATTCTCTAAAAGAGAAAAGATTGCTTACCAACATTCTAGCGTATTCAAAAATAAAAATATTAATAGAACAAATTTGTGTATAGCACTGTCAAGGAACTTTGCTAGAAAAAAATAACTAATTGCTATCTAAAAGCATATCATAAGGC